GCATTTCGTGCAGTGAGGAACAAACTAAGATATATATTATAGTAAATAATATCCGTTATATAACAACAATTATTTTCACTCTACTTGAGGCAATAATTTAAAAAAAATATATTTAAACATTATTAAAATGAGAATGGTTTCGATTATCTTTAATGTAAAGAATTGGGTTAAAATATGAAACTAGTCATTTCGTGAATTTCATTATTTAAATGTTTCTATTACGATTCTTCATAGAATCGTGCTTCACATTGTATTTATAGTATTACAAAATATTTTCCCAATACCAACTTACAAATGTTGTGAAATCACACACGTACTTATTCACCTAAACAAAACTGTGGCTATTAAGACACAACGGTATAAGTGATCATGTTTTAATTTGGAATGTTGTAGGTTTTATTTGATTTTGTTTGTTCTAAAACCCGATGTTCCAGGCGTTCGAAACTTAGTAAATTAGGGAATACAATGGTAAACAGAAATAAGAAACTGGATTTATCTGAGATTTAACGCAACAGTGGCAGTGATGATGAGGGACGCATAGCATACTTTTTAAGGAGGCAACAATGACACCTCGCTCATTTCTGAGGGTCAGTGCACAAAGTATCTTTCTATTGACGATGTATTCCCATGCGTAGCTTGTTTCTCCATCACTTGCATCAACCGTTTGCAATGTATCATCTCCTCCAAACAGACATTTTAGGATATTATTTTCATTTTTTTCAACACAAATGACCCAACGATACAGATGCCATTTTGTATAACATACTTAAATGTTGTACTTAAAAGTCTGACCAATCACCTCTTATTGACATCACTATCTATTTTCGAAATGTGGCTTTGCCGGCCTGTAACCAATCAATCAAGTAGAAGAAATTTACCTATTAGCATCACTTATTGAAGAGGTGTCAGTATTGACCTCTGATGATATCACTTGTCAATCAACTATCAGAATTGTACCTATTAGCTTCACTTATTGAAGAGGTGTCAGTATTGACCTCTGATGATATCACTTGTCAATCAACTATCAGAATTGTACCTATTAGCTTCACTTATTGAAGAGGTGTCAGTATTGACCTTCAGTGATATCACCAGAGAATCAATTATCAGAGATTACCGTTATCATCAATGATTGAAGAGGTGTCAATATTGATCTCTAATGATATCACAAATCAATCAAGTATAAAAAAATAACCCATATCATTACTGATTGATTTGGTGTCATTTTAACCTCGTTTGACAATATTAATATCTTATTGATTTAATTAAATGGTTTATCAGATGGACACTGATGTATCACTAATGAACTTTATCAACATCAACATTGATCAGTTAAAACTTCACTTTATTGATAACATATAAATACTGATTCCTTTCAAGACATTTACATCGATAAAATCACAGCCCATCACCCCAGAATATGAAATGGTCAGTGCCATACCAACGGTATAGGATTTCATCTCTCAGGTTGACATTTCTTTCAAATTTCCAAGGTATTTGTTTTCTTAAGTGATATGTAATCTATCGATGTACTAGGTTAAATATGTGACTTTAACTCTTCCCGTCTCTATTTCTTTCGAAGGCATGGTGTATATTAGACAAAATACTTGATCCATTGAAAAAGGATACCTGCATATGATGCCTTACAGAATCTTTCATGACAAATGAGTTTGGTAGAGGACAGGCTTGCTGAAGGATGATGCCTATTCTTTTCCTGTTATAACTGCATGTGAGACGCAGTCTCTGCCTCATGCTCTCTTCATCTCTCATGTGCGACTATTGCTCTAGGTTAGAGCCCTTTGATCCCCGCATCGACCCTCGTTATTGGGTGCCAAATGGATGTCCTCATCCTTGACTTTAGCCGGACGGGTCTGCTTGCTTTGACAGTCGGTCTGACAGTGACCGCCAGTTGTTCCCATCTTATCAGCTTATTGGAGTGTTTAATCTCTATCCCTTATACAGACGCGATATCGACTCTCTCCCTCTCTCTCCACTATTGATTCTGGCTGATGCGGTGCGGGGGTGGGATGACGTCACGAACGCGAATTGAACGCCCGCTACAAAGCGATGGCTGGACGGCCGCGTGTCCCGAAGAGTTCGGTGTGTGTCTTATTACGCACCGATGGATCAGACACCGTCAGTGAGACCGCATGCAAAGGGGGTGGCTTGGAGGTGATAACAGGCAAATTAACCCGCTGCACGTTCCGCTATGTATCAAAGACAGGGTGATTAAGTCCAAGAGACCAAACTTAGGCTAGGAGTCAATCACTGCTTATTGGATGGGCGTTTAAGAATTCCACCATTCCTAGTTGAAAACAGTCTATTTTGGGCTGAGTTTTGTTATGAACGTATTGATCATGGGTGTTTGACAATGACTCTTTCTAAGTGGGACCTTAGCTTATGAGGTAAAGATTAAGACGAAGTTCTCCCCAGCCCTATGTCGGATTATGCTTTCAAATCAGAATCAGAAAACTTTTGTTGCCCAAGTGTTCAATCGAACTCTCACAATGTCTTCGTGAGAGACCTATTATGACATTTCGATCCAAACTTGACAGAAACATCAGAACCCTTCACATAAGACCACCATGCAAGCTTGATAACACGTTATAACATACGGTGGCATATGACAGCCGTTCAAATACTATCAATTACCCCGTTGCGATGGTTCTGTTGTTGCTATATTGGGCAGATAATTGAACATTTCGCCAGGTAATTGTGACTAATTGGTCACCGAGGCCATGAAGATGTCAGAGTAAATAAACTACCCCACCCTGTAGGTGGCTGCCGTTTCGGACGGGAAATCGGATTACAAATTCTAACAACGTCCCCAAACCTAAAGATCAATTCATCAACACAGTAAATTGTAGGGCGATTTGACGGAAGAATTATTTTGGGATAACTGTGCCAAATGAACTGCTTAATGGTGTATGTACATGTTGTCAACAACAATACAGGAGAACATTATGAATCTATGTTAGCCTGCTGGTGAACGTATTGAATAGCACATGCACATTTGAAAACAATCAATTACTCTACGCAAAACAAGCCTGAAACTCGAAAATATTGAAAATGAAATTATTCACTTTTTTGTGTGTGCATGTGGTAATGCAACGCGACCTTTGTCTTGCAACATATTTGCAACACTTTGCTTTGTTTTCCAGTGGCTCTTATGTGTGTTCGTTGGTATCCCTTTGGGTGTCTCGATCCAGAAAAAATAAATTTAAATTTAATAACTGCATGCATAACTGTTGCCAGAAAGCCAATTTAGTGCAACACCCTGCTGTAATGTCATATTTCATTCACTCCAGATTAATGTGATTATTCTAATGTTTGACCGAATTTTCAGTCAGTTACAAACAAGTAGGTTTACTGAGAACAAAATTCGGTATTAAGACATCATCTAATAATGAGGAAGAATATGAAATAATTTGCCAGAAGGCTGTTCCAGTGTCTTTAAAATATACACTCTCCTCTTACAATTGTAATTGTTGCCTTACAGTAGACGCAACGTGAGCACGTAATCCAAAATCATCAACTATTAGCCCAAATATACATTAGCAAATCCTTTTGTGTACGCATATCATATCTTTATCGTGACCTTTATATCATTTGTAATTTCACCACCCTTTAACAATGCTTGCCGCGATATCAATAATGTTCTATCAAACAAAAACTAATATGCAATAATGATTAAGTGTCAAAGACACTGCGATTAATGTGATCATGAAGAGAAGATCTGAAGGTAATGTAAACCGTTTCTATACGTAATGCATTGGCAAGCTGACGTTGAATGTGTAAGATCTATGTCGACAGGTGATTAGTATTCTGAAGACAGTGGTAATCAATACTATATCTGACGCACGTGTATCCATTGATAACCGAGCAACTTATAAAGGACAAGATACATTGATTGGTCAGATCGATTTGTCGTATTTTATCTATCTACAATGCGCACGCTAGTCACGGAGCTGACATGGTTATTGCGGTTTTAGAAACTACAGTACATCTTCGCCAAGAGTAACAACTGTGTGGCAGACTGCCTTAATGTATGCATTCAGATTTGATAGTTTCACTACTTTTTGCGTCCTGTTCCAACAAAATCAGTGCAATACCGTACACATACATATGCTATCCATGCTCGTCATGAACACGAAATATGTACTTTCGTTTAAGGGCACATAGGGCGGTTGACGAAGATGTATTTTTCAGTGGTACCGTAATTGACATAGCCATATTTGAATAGTAAGATACTTCACTGTGTTGACAAATTGAGCCTTGAATCTTCACATGGATCAGTGGTACATGTTCTTTAGTCTCATCTTTCACATTATTGAAACGCCGACAAAACGCCCTCGCCTACTTGCGTTAGTCTTAATACCATCCCGAACACAGGACAAAGAAGAACTCCATAGCAACCGCTGAAAACAAAGTTGATTACAAAGTTAGAAGGCGGCAGTCGTCACTGAAGTGTGTGATATTTTCTATAACAACAATACGGTAGGTTATTACATGTGAGCTCTCCTCTCAGTTTGGCGCTTCGTTCTCTGCCCCTCCCTGTCTGATCGACTGGCCCCTCCCAAATACTCCCCGTGCGTCGCTATGCGGGCTTGCTATGTCCCCTCCCGCCCACGACTGACAGCCGTAAGACTGACGACAAACTGAACTAAGGCCTGAGTAGTTTATTTCCATCCCAACAGATAGACTTCAATCATCAAGTGTGTGCTTTCCCCGTTACTGCATTCCCAAACAGTGTTGACAATAAAATATGGCGTCATGAATGAAGTCACGTGACTGGAGGTACCCACTGCCCATGCAGCAACAAGTTCGCTAAGTAGCAATCGTTCAATAACGTGACTTCTTACAGACGATGCCAATTATTGGCAATATATGCGCGTTTTTGTGTGTACTAGCCTGTCTGTGGCGAGGTTGGTAGTGGGTGGGCGGCGGCGGGCTGAACCTGCTCCAAGCGATAAGCAGCACCGATCATCCGTTGTCAGATCAGCTCGCTCATGGAACCGTTGATGTTAATAAATCGGTCAGGACATAAAGTCACCAATGAATATATTCCGAATGTAAATTAGTTGTAAAGTAGTTAGTATAGAGCTAACATGATGACTTTGTTCTGTACGTGAGATTATACTTCAGGGCGGGGTGAACCAATTTCTCCACCATCAGTGACCGGGCGAGATTGTGACGTAGTTGTCCTGCCCATTGTCGGTGCTTTAGAAATCTTGACATCCAACTTCTCACCACTTGAATGGAAGAGCCAGTGACCGGAACGCCGAGCTGAGACAGGTTTATTATAATCCAGTAACATCAATCCTGGTTTATAATCATTGGCCGCTGTGAAAGACGGCTGGTCTGACGGACGGACATGCGGACGGTTCATGCCGCCGGCTACCTGTAAACATGAAGTTAGCAAAGTTTGTGGTGGTATCCCCAAGAGAGTAGCCAGAAGTTGAACACCACGGAGAGAACAAGACGCGCTCATCTCGCAGGTAAGATGTGCATACAACATTGCATACAAAGAATGGTATAAGTTATCATAAGAGATCAACACCATGCACCTTTACTTCAGATCCATGTCACCATAGTTGGAACTCCATATGAAGGGTAATATCTATTTGACCTGATATGTGTGATGATATAATTAAAAGTTATTTTTCGGATTATATAGTTATACTTTATAATCTTATTAAGAAATGTTTGGTGTATTTTATTAACGATAAACATCATGGCTAACCAACTAAGTATAGACAGCATTGTCTAATATAATGTTGTTATCTAATATGACACTGTGTTATAATGAATGTATAATATAACGTATATGAATATATTTACTACTCCCAGCTGGTAAAAATGTAGAGTTTAGCATAAAACTGATGAGTATGTACATTATAAGGTTTAAAACAAGCAAGTGAAGAGATTTACTCTTACAACATTCCCAGGATAGTGCTCTGTGGTAGTAGTTTCTTCCATGTGTAGTATTGTCACTCAAGTAATTGCATGGTTGATATAATAACATCGTTCATACATCCACAGAATCAATATCCATAGATGTACTTCTAACTCACGTGTTGCTTGTCCTTCACACATCGATATGATTCCCAGTGTATAACACTATCAAAGACCAACTCTTCACCAGACAATAGCGCCATATTTCCACGGAAATCCACTGATTGTATTGTCTCGGCCTTGATTTACTTTCAGCCATTTGCTCCTTTATAAAATGGTATGATTTATCCAGTTTCCTGTCTATAAGAACAGTTGGTCTCATGCGATTTCATAAGCCTCCAAGCTGATCATAACATCAAAATATCACATGGTGTGTATGTACGGTACATTCAGTTACAGTAAATATGTATGATATTAATTCATATAGATCATGTGTAAGTACATCATGACCAGCCGTTCCTACTGTTGGGTTCTACACTTTACCAAGGTGACTATGAATACCGTGGATGATGTCTTAAGCGATCAGATGGATAGCGCAGTCTTAGTGTTCATAGTAGATTACAATAAATGCACGGCGTCTTCGATTCTAAGAAGCAACAAGACATGGCGTTGTAACAATAATGTTTATTCTGAGCAAATTATCGTAGGCAGAAAGAAAACATGGCGCCTGATTCATCATCTTTGAATAAGAGATTAGATGTCACACTTGTCTGCATGACTTCACGATACACATCTGTTACTGTATATGACAGGTAGGCCGACAACACGAGAAATAACCGTTAATCATAGCAGTAGACTAAACAACAGTCAGCATGTCCATTCATCTTTGTACGAGATTGTTCTGACGATACGTATTCGTTAATTAAAGTTTGACAAGATCCATATTATGCACTATTGATGCGCCTTGGTACACGACACAACACAATATAACTTTCTAAACGGAAGTTACTGATGTTCTCCATACGATGCAAAAGTTTTACTTTCTCCAACGTTTTAGCGGGGAAAAGACGTTGGGGAAAGTGCATTTTTATATTGTTCTCACGTACGCATATTTCTCGCAGACGTCTTTCTGGAACATAAGTGTGAAGTTTTGGGTACATAATGGCTTTGAAAATCACTTGATATGATATTAGTACCTTTTCTCTGGCAACACGTATTCCTTTTGAGAACACTAAAATATGTTGTTTCTAACTTTCATGAAGGAAAGGGACCGTCCGTGGTAGATGTATTTCCTGTAACCTGTATACACAGTTGTATTATCATACAGACATCATGTGTTGAATATACATGTGTTGACTAATACCGTTTGTCAATCACTAGAATACAGACCCCTGGCTTAAAACATATATGATTATATGATACAGCCAAGAATGGTAGCTTAGTGGCAGAAGCGTTGACTCTTCACGGGCTCGATTCTTCACATGGGTACGTCTTAAGTCATTTCTTGCCTCCTCCCTAATATTGTTGGAATATTGCTGAAAGGAGCGAAGAGCCATACTCATACATTATATCAAATACTAGTAGTTATAACAATTACTCGAAATAAAACGCTATCTAGTTGAGGCCTGAAGTCCATCAAAATATATTATAAACATGATAATTACGTTATTATCTGACACAATGCACTGGCACTGCGCATTTATTAGAAACAAGTGGTTCTTCAACCAATTATTTCAATTTGAGATGTAAAAACCAAGCTGAGATTGTACTGCCGGTGACAAGCGCCGATCCGCAGAGAAAATGAGTGACAGACATACTGCTAATTACCCATGTTGAGACACTGAGATAGCCCCACCAAAATATATTTCGCTCCCATGCAAATTGATACCAATAGGCAAATACTCCCTCTTAAACATCTATTGTAATTATATCTTCCAACAGACAGACATATAGTTTATAAAATGTTTCTTAACCAAGGGTATGGTGGGTGGACGTGACCCCTATGCCCCAAAACACATTGATTTTTTCCTATTTGTCAGCGATGAGCTAAACACATTTAGTTGACAGTATGTGTTCCACTCTTGTACTGTTTTATTTCATTGTTAAGCCTGTGCTATCATAGATGATGTGTTAAAGTCACAAATGATTACCTTCTAAATCTCACTTCATTCCTCATATCTCAATCGATCAAGACATCAAATATCTGTTTTAAGCTTTATGTAAAGACCTGTAAAAGTACGTTTCAGAAACATGAAACTCATGAAATGATAGAACATGTGCTAGTTATATAGAGAAGTGAATGAGAAATATTTCAAGCACCAACAGTGGAACTTGAGCATTGTGTGTCATCTGGTACCGTCAAGAAACGGGATACTGTGATGAAATGACAATGGATATGTTCGGTTTCAAAGGAAGAAGTATTCTTACATAGCACCTGGTTCAGTTGTACATTGCAGACTGTCCCGAACTGACGCCTTTAATGCACCATGCCTGCAACACAATTAAGTACCTATCAGGTCTACCAGTCCATTGGTAAAGCTCTTTACCTCTTCCCCCTACTGACAACATATTGCTCCAGTAGGTACTAAAGTGTCTTCAGATTATACTATTAAGGTTTTACGAGGAAATTTGAATATGCTTATACTTCGTGTTCTCTTTAGAGCCATGTGCTTCAACTTGGCATTAGACGGAGAATCTCATGCACACACAAACACTCACACACTTGCACTAACAAACACACACGAACACAAGAGCACTAACAGATACACACAGACACGCACACAAACACACACAAGCACACACACACACACACACACACACACACACTAGCACTAATAAACACAGAGACACAAATACACACACACGCACGCACACACACACACAAAAACAACACACACACACACACACACAAAACACACCCACATATCTCTGAAATTGTCGGCCCCAGTTAGTTTGGACTTTTCATCACAGAGGCACATACACCTGAGGTGAGGTGAAACGGGGTTTAATATCGCGTTCAAGAATATTGCACTTATATAGCGACGTAGCATGCAGCTGTGTGTGTGTGGCTGCTTAAACTTGTCAGAACTAATCCCGATTTCATAGTGCTAGCACACTGAGATTCCATACCGCAGATTCACATGAATACCCCACTCAGACACTGTGTACTGACTCCGAGCCGACCAGGCCTTGTCATAGCCTCTTAAAGTCAGGCAGGGTAACAACAAGTACCATCTTTTAACGTCTTTTGGTATGACGTGGCGGGGATCGAACCCACGACCTTCCGCTCTCCGGACAGACGCTCTACCACTAGACTACGAAGGCGATTCAAATACACCCGAAGCTTCAACGTTTTGTAAAACCACATGGTTATGTGTCATGACAATTCTACTGTAATGTTTATTTGCCAAAGGATAATTTTGTAGAAATCATTAATAAAGACAGAACGTATTTCCCTATATGGTCGAGATATTCTTGAGGTATTCCATCAAATATTCAAGAAGTTCAAACCTCACTTTCAAGAGATGTGAAACTTAAGTTTTATGATCTAAAGTGAAATACGATTTTGACAAAAATAAATCACTTTGGCTGGATACAAGCCTTTTTGTCATGCATTTCTTTCACATTAAACCACAGAGCGCTGTTTATAAATCATACGAAAAAAGCAACCTTTATAAATAAATTACTTAGGCGTATTATTTCTTGCATATCTGTCTTCTGAAAAGTACCAACATTTTAACGTCGATATCCTAATTGCATAATTGTGTTAACATCTTTGGTCACACACATCCTCTGTCATTAATCAGGAATGATCGGATAATAAGACCTTTATGTATCCTCTCGCGCACGATGTCTACTGCGAGGCATATCTGTAACATGGCTTCGCACATGTGATGTTTATTATGTATCACACATATCCAGTCAGTCTTCTTTCTCACTACGAAGTCAGTATTGACACATGACAAAGATTCCGTAAAGATTTTGTTTCTCGGTAAGAAAAATAGCAACAAAGTGACAAATTGCGTGCTGAAATTGGAATATCACCTGGCATATTCAGAAACGGTATAAGCAGCACGTAATGAACATAATCAGCAAACAAGAAGGGTTTCAAGAATCTAGAATGCTCAATAGTCAGGGAATGGGATGTTTAATCACTGGGGGGGGGGGGGGGGGGGGGGTGTTTCAAATAGACGTTAAATGCATCCACAAAGATAGTTGATCAAACATCACAGAACAATGAAACTAGATAAAAAGCATTGGCTCGTAACATTATCATTTACAAACGTTTACCAGTTTTAAATTCATAAGAAAAAGATCGAATGTTTTATAAGTGGTTTAAAAAGCCCACTCCATATAAAAACAATGATAATTAATGTTTTCAGTATGTGAACTTAATGTTCCTTAAAATTGGGTTGCTTTCTATGTACACCTATCACAAGTTACAATCTTAAAACCGTGCTCACAAATCATACTCCTTAAAAAGGTTGTAGGGATCCCACATCAGTCTTCTTTGTTGCAACTAGCATTCACTGACTGCAAAACACTCCTCACCGTCCTTATCTTTTGTCAACTATATGATGGGGCCCTCCTGTTATATTGCAGC